TTTGCAAAGTAAATAATTTGAAAGTGTTACTTGTGCCGGCGCTCAGGTTTGGTAGGGAATTAACGGTGTGAGACAGGACGCCACATCGCTATACGAACCTGGATGCGACAGTCACACACTTTGATATGACCAGAGGCGACGGAATCGCGAGGGTGCGAAAAGGGGGAGGAGGGGTGGAGGGAGAAATCGACTGCTCTGCTCTGAAGCTGGGAAGCAGAAAAGTACAGAATATCAATTGAGTTCGTCTTCTCCTTGCCCTTCTCCCCTCCCACTTTCCTCTTTCTCTGTCTCTCACTCAGGAAGTCGGCGAGAAATCAGACAAAGACGGAAAAGGGGGGGGGGGGGCTCTTCGAATGTCTTCTCGCCGGCAGGCAGGTGAACAAACACACGGAGGAGGGAAAAGTTGGTCACGCGGGGCAGACGTCCTCTCTCTCTCTCACTCACTCACTCTTTCTTTCTCGCTCACTTCCCCGAGCTGTCTGTGCCGCTCGTCCCGGCTCTCTTAACTCTCCCCCTTTCTCTCTTTCTCTTCTGTATTTCCTCTCTCTCTTTTTGTAAAAATAAAAAAAAAACATACGTCTTGCATTGGCAAGAACAACCAGAGGCGAGACATGCTTCCCATTTCCACCAAACAATGAAACAAAACAAAAGAACATGTAAAGCAACGAAAAGTTGACATATGTTCCGGGGAGATTCACAGTGAAAATTCGAGATGGGAAGAGACGTTTGACTCTCTCTTTCACTCTCTCTCACTCTGCCTAGCGTCGGTCGTCGGTTACCACGTATACCGCTCACCCGCCAACTTGTCCAATCCTCACCTCTACCCTTTCACAATCTTCCGCTGGTGACACCCTCCCTCTTCTCCGACCGCCTATCACCCCAACCCCCCGCCTACAGCCCCCGCGACCACCCCCTTGTCCGCACCCCTGCCTTAGCACCCTCGTTGGTGTCGAGTAGGTGTGTCCTGTGTTGGTAATTGTTAGAAGAGGTGCTGCTTCAGATGGTCGAGGTGGGGCGTGGCGAGGCGTGGCGGAGCATCGGACCCCCTCCCTGGCCGTCGGACGCAGCCGGCACCCGGTCCGGAGGGGGCCAGGACCCCAACAGGACCCCTGCCCGGGCGGACACACTGCGAGAGGAGCGGGCACCAGGCGAGCTACACGGCCAAGCGTATGCATCCCAAATAATAACTACTTCCGGGAATTTCTCCTAGCTCGGCCGTTTCCAAGAAAAGTGGCAAACACCACAGAATTTGATTTTTCGCATGGACAATTTGGCCGATGAGCATCGACAATAGATTGTTTAGGGACGCCTTCGTCCAGCGTTATCTTTCTACGTAAACTGCTCTTTTCTGCGTATTTTTTAAAGCTAAGCATTTCAGCATATCTGTGTTTTGATAAAAAGTGTGACCCTCTTTTTAGCAATTTTGCGGCACATCGCTAGGTCTCTCACCTGCACCAGGTCGCCGAACTCGCCACCCGCCGCTGTGAAGTTGAGGTGGCACAGAAAGGGCAGCCGGTCTTCCCGCGGCCGCCGGATCTCCAGGTCGTAGGTCTGGTCCACGTCACCGTAGTAGGTGCGGTTGCAGGCTGGAACAAACAAGGGCACACATCGGTTAGAGAAATTAAGTAATGTTAGAATAAGCGAACCCTATGAGTCTGGTGTGACACAGTTCACACCCAAATATCATCTCACAGTTTTCAACGGCCAATTTAACAAAAGACTGCAGTAATTCTTGTTAAAACACGACGACCTACTGCACTGTTAAAAGAATTGCTGTAAATTTACAGCGAAAATGTGATTAATTTTGTTAGCAGCATATACTGTATTTTTACAGGCCTTACTGTAAAAAAGCAGCGTTAATGAAATTGTCGGAAACAAAGTTTCCAACCAAAATCAGTTACTTTGTTTTGCTCCTGTAAAAAAAATTGTAATAATACGAGTGTCCTGTTTTGGAACGAAATTTGCTGCTAACAAAATTAACTTCTCTTTTCTTGTAAATGTACAGCAAAGTTATACGTAGTAGTTTTTGTTGTGGGCCACTATGGGCCGAATATCACAAGTTTCGAGAGTGTTCAAATGAAAACAACATTTCTGTTACATTACAGGAAAGTAACAGGCAGTAAGTCGTTAGGTGACAGTTATTTTTAACAGTGTGCAGAGACTCCATGGAGAGTACAATTTACGATTTAGGATGTGCACAGGATTACGTGAGTGGTGGCCCCCTCGTCAATTTAGTGCGACGCACTTTACAATTTCCTATACAAACTACAGTTTTGCGTCAAATTGTTGCTAACAGTGCGTACAATGAGTGCTTTAAAAGTGGGCGTCCAACATGGCAAAGTAGTGCGACGAACGAACGACAGACAAGACCGGAATACAACGTGTTGAAGATTGGAACGGTCCGAGGGTGTGAGGTAAGAGGGAAAACAGGGTGAGAGGAGCAGGGGGATGCCACAGCCGAGGGAACAAAAAAGCGGGCGGCAGAGGCGCTCCGGGGGGG